TGGCTGGCCCGGGCGGCGAGGACGGGGCAGATTGGCTGGCTCTTCCTCATGGCGCTGCTCTACATCCTGGGCGCGGCGCTGTACGCCGCCCGCGTGCCCGAGCGCTTCTTCCCCGGCAAGTGCGACATCTGGGTGAGCCCCGCACACACGGCAGCTGGGAGCCCGGTCGCCTGGGTTCTCTCTGGCCCTGGGAGGGGAGCGGTCCCTAGTGGTTAGAGCCTGGGGGCTGGCAGCCCGGGCACCTGGGTTCTCTCTGGCCCTGGGAGGGGAGCGGTCCCTAGTGGTTAGAGTTGGGGGGAGCTCGAAGCCCAGACACCTGGGTTCTCTCTGGCCCTGGGAGGGGAGCGGTCCCTAGTGGTTAGAGCCTGGGGGCTGGCAGCCCAGACACCTGGCTTCTCTCTCCAGGCTCTGTGTGGCCCCAGCAATCGCTTCCGTGTGTGTTTGTGCCACGGGTGCTCCGTGTGCCCCTTACGAGCCCCCGGGCTGCTCCTTCCCTGCTCCTGGGGGGCTGGGTGGCTGAGGAAGGGGAGGGGCCTGCCAGGCCGGTAGGCGGGGCCAAGCTCACCCCAGCTCCTCTCTCCCCTGCAGTTCCACTCCCACCAGATCTTCCACGTGCTGGTGGTGGCAGGCGCCTGCGTCCATCTCCACGGGGTCTCCCAGCTCCAGGCCTTCCGCTCCTCGCTGGGGGGCACCTGCAGCCAGAGCACTGTGCTGTGAGCACTCTGCCCCGAGGCGCCAGACCCCACCCCCACGCCAGGCCGCCGGATCCAACCCACAGGCCGTGGCTGAGCACCTGCTCCTGCCCTGGGGGCGTGGCCTCAGAGGCCACCCAAGGAGTGCTGCCACTGAGGGGCGTGGCCTCTGGCACCAAGCACCCAATCGCAGCGCTGGATTCAGGGCCTGACACACGGACCAATCCCGTCCTCCAGCAGCTAATCACAGGACAGAGCGCGGGACCTCAGGTGACCACCAGCCCATTGGCCCACCAGGAGGGTGGCCTGGGACACCGACCAACCAATGACAGAGTAGTGATGTCATAGCCCCACTGGCCAATGGCCCCGCACAGCAGCGACCCAAGACTCTGACCAGCCATTCACACCGCAGGGGGCGTGGCCTCAGAAACCGACCAACCACTTCACACCATGGAGTTGGGACCAATTGCACTGACCAATCACAACCTGGGAGGCGTGGCCTACGGCAACCAGCTCAAGGCCACGGGGGCGTGGCTTTCTTGTCCCGCCTGCCTGGTGTTGTCCCCGGTGGCACTGTGGGGCGAGGGGTATTTAACAACTCCCTGCCTCATCCCCCAGCCCAGCTTCCCAGTCTCTCGCCCCTGAAGACCCTCTTGGAAAGGTGTGCCGTTCTTGTCTTTGGAGGACTGGGGGGAGGAATAAGACCCTTTTCAGAGATGCTCAGGGCGGGGCTGAGCTGTCCAGAGGGGGCAACACTGTCAGCCCCACCCTAGGTAGCCCCAAAGCCACCCTGAGCCATTTGGGACAGGCCTGGGGGTGGGAGGGCTGTGGGGGCTAGTGGTTAGAGCAGGACTCCAGGGTTCTGGCTCCCGCTCTGGGAGAGGACTGGGGGGTAGGGGTGGGCCTGGTGCCATGGGGCTGGGGGCTGGCCCATCCCACCCTGACATGCTCAGGCTCACAAGGATGCAGATCTGTGGGGCATGGCTCCCATCTGTGCTGCGCAGCCCCAGCTCCTGCCTGCACCTCCCCCCAGCCGGGGGGCACAGTGCTGGAGGGCAGGGTAGGGGGCATTGCAGGGGCTGTGGATCTGTGGGGGCCTGAGGCGATGGAGGATTTGCAGAGCGGGGCAGGGTGGGGGAAGGAGGCTGGGCCAGAAGGGGGTGCTGTGGCGGTGAAGGGCCCATGGGCTAATGAGGCAGCATCAGAGGAGTGAGAACCCCCCGGCCCCTCCTTTGAGACCCGTCACCCCCCAGTGGGGGACAGTGCAGCGTGTCTGGGAGCCGCCCCGCG